AGTTTTTAAAACCCGTGCAACCAAAAAGTGGGTGGGCTTTAACTCCCAAAAATCCCGCAGCAAGCATGGTGTTGGGGGAATTCGGGGAGTGGAAGTCCACACATCTTCAGGTCACCAAGGTTGAGAAACACTGTGGTAAGGTATTGATGATGAGCCTCTTTGTCATTGTCCAACAACCTGCCATTCTCTGGGTGGCCAGATGGACCTCTTGTGAGTTGTGGGGCCTTAGACTTTCATCTAGAAATCCAGCCTTTCTTATTCTGCTGAATGGACTTCAGGAAAGGCAGATCATGGGATGGAGGAAACCAGCGGTATGCCGATGGCATAGAACGAAGGAAAATTTTTGGTCCCAACTCTGCCTGTAGGCCGTAAGACTAGACCAGTGAAGAAGAGTAATTGAAGTAATCAAACAAGAGAGGGAGGAATCTCAATTTGTCACTAAAAAAGTTTTTATTTGGGCCAACTAGTGTCCCTTGTGATATTGTTTCTGTTTTCAGAATGTCCTTGAAAAAGAAATACATTTTCTGAAACACATCAGGCCAGATAAAAACTTTTTTAGTGGCCCTTGGAATTCCTCCCTCTCTTGGATCAGCCAAGGTTAATCTTAGTCCAGGATTTTGTGGACACAGTGCCAACCAGATGCCATGGAGATATTTGTAAGTAGGAGGTGGAGACCTGCCTACTACTTGTGCTGGAGCCATGTGACTTTCCTCCACATCTGCCTCCCACTTTGCTGTTTTTTGTTGACCTTTTCTTTTTCTGCATAGATGAAATCAGGAATTCCAGTGAGGAAGACTCAGGAGAGGTCATGTCCAGCCAGCAGATAACCCTATGGCTGCAGGGCCTGTTCCTCTTCGCTCTGGTTTGGACCATCGGGAGCACTGTGAACGCAGAGGGCCGGAAGAAATTTGACAATTTTTACCGAAACCTTTTGATGGGAATGGATGATGAGAACCCGCGCCCCAAAAGCGTGAAGCTGACCAAAAACAATCTATTTCCAGAAAGAGGTGTGTCTAGGATACACATTATTTAAAAAGGGATTTAGCTGGAAAAAGCATCAACTCTTTAGAGTGGGAAGGAATCACATTGCAGCTTTGAAAGTATAATGGTCTGTGGGAATATCCTTGAGAGACGGGAGGAGGAAGAGCCGCAGCCGGGGCAACGGTCAGATAAGAGTCATCTCAGCCCACAGAAGGAATGGGCTTGTGGAAAGCGTCTCAGAAGGGACCCTCCCTAGTTCCCTGGAAAGTAAAGGCGAGGGGGGAGAGATGTGCTTTCAGACTTGCAAGATTCTGTTACTCCAACCTTACAATAAAGGTAGTGTTAATACTCATGGTATTCTTGTCCAGACTACCTCGAAGGGCTGCCATCAATCTTGCAAGTCTGAAAGCACATCTTTCCCCCCTCGCCTTTACTTTCCAGGGAACTAGAGAGGGTCCCTTCTGAGACGCTTTCCACAAGCCCATTCCTTCTGTGGGCTGAGATGACTCTTATCTGACCGTTGCCCCGAATGCGGCTCTTCCTCCCCCTGTCTCTCAAGGATATTCCCACAGACCACTCCAGAACAGATCAGGAAGGAGGATGAGCAGGTACTCTGGACTTCTCCAGTTGTGGCTTCAGATTTGCATGGGCCTCTCCTCCTTGTTCCCTGCCCCCTCCTC